AACAGGTAAAAAACCTTGGAACCCTTCTGAGTAATCACCAAACCATAAAGCAAATTCTTTTTAAAAGAAACAGGTTCAATGGAAAAACAATGTTAGATCTTTCTGAGATTTTGAGGGAGAATAAAGTGATTAAAGAGATTATGTTTTCTGAGTCATGTATTGGTTCTATTGGAGCTGGATTAATAGCTTCTTCTCTTATGGTGAATCATAGTTTAGAGGAGTTGCAGATTTGGGAAGATTCAATAGGTTCAAAAGGTGCTGAAGAGATTTCAAAGATGATTGAAGTTAATCCATCTCTTAAGCTGTTAACAATTTTCGACTCGAGTTTCATCACGGCTACACCTCTTATATCGTCGGTTTTGGCAAGGAATCGGGCTATGGAGGTTCATGTTTGGTGCAGTGAACGAAACGGTGAAAGAAGTTCTAAGGTTGTTGAATTTGTACCTGGTAACAATACACTTCGAATTTTCAAGCTTAATCTTTCGGGTACTTGTAGGGTTGCTTGTTCTTTAGGAATGAATTTGACTGTTAAATCACTTGACATGACTGGTGTGAAGATAAAATTGAAATGTGCTAAGGAGTTTAGATGGGTTTTAGAACAAAACCGAACGCTAAAAGAGGTTAATTTTTCAAGAACATGTCTTAAAGATAAGGGAATTGTGTACATTGCGGCTGGACTATTCAAGAATCACAGTCTGCAAAAGTTATATCTAACCGGAAATTTGTTCGGCGGAATAGGCGTCGAGCATTTACTTTGTCCTCTGAGTAGGTTTTCGTCGTTGCAAATGCAAGCTAACGTTAGTTTGAAGTGTGTTACTTTTGGAGGAGGGGGAACGAGAATAGGAAGAGATGGTTTGGCAGCTATAACGCGGTTTCTAATGACGAATGAGACGGTGACGCGGTTTGGGATACATGATGACGAGAGTTTGAGACCGGATGATTTTGTTAAAATCTTTAAGAGTTTAGAGAAGAATGCGAGTTTGAAATGTTTGTCTTTGCAAGGTTGTAAAGGTGTTCAAGGAGATACATTGCTGGAGATAATTATGGAGACATTGCAGATTAATCCTTGGATCGAAGAAGTTGATCTTTCAAGAACACCTTTACATAATTCTGGAAAGACTATTGGGATTTATCAGAGATTAGGGCAGAATGAGAATCCTGAACCAGAAATAGATTTGATCAAAGACATGCCACTGACTGAGCCTAAGAGTTGCAGAGTTTTCTTTTGTGGACAAGAATATGCAGGTAAGGTTGAGTATTTATGCTATAAGCACTTAATTAAATAGTTTATTCAAACAGAATCGATTATACTTATATTTTAATTTCATATGATCAGGCAAAACTACACTCTGTCAATCAATATCACAAAACTTCTCGGCTTCGCCGGCACTTCCCTATTTGGATCAAGTAAGAACAATAGTGAATCCAGTGGAGCAGGCTGTGAAAACAGTAGGAATGAAGATAAAAACTTTCAAGGATGAGGATACAAAGATTTCAATATGGAATCTTGCTGGTCAGCACGAGTTTTTCTCCCTCCATGATCTTATGTTTCCGGGGCACGGTAGTGCATCGATTTTCATCATCATATCGAGTTTATTCAGGAAGCCGGGTAACAGAGAACCAAAAAGCACTGCAGAGGTTGAAGAGGATTTGCAATATTGGCTAAGGTTTATAGTTTCCAACTCCAAAAGAGCAGTGCAACAATGCATGCTACCGAGTGTAGCTGTTGTTCTTACACACTTCGATAAAATCAACCAATTGTCGCAAAATCTGCAGCAAACAGTTGATTCGATTCAAAGATTGAGAGACAAGTTTCAAGGCTATGTTGAATTCTACCCAACTGTATTCACGGTCGATGCAAGATCATCAGCATCAGTCAGCAAACTCACTCATCACATACGAAAGACGTGCAAAACAATTCTCCAAAGAGTACCGCGAGTTTATCAACTTTGCAATGATCTAATACAGATTTTATCAGAGTGGAGATCAGAGAATTACAACAAGCCAGCAATGAAGTGGAAGGAGTTTGGCGAGGTGTGTCAAGTGAAAGTCCCGTATTTGAGAATCCGATCGAGACATTATAATAAAGAGGCGGTGGAAGTGAAGCGAAAAGCTATCGCTACCTGTCTTCATCATATCGGTGAAGTGATTTATTTTGATGAGTTGGAGTTTCTAATTTTAGATTGTGAGTGGTTCTGTGGTGAAGTACTTGGTCAGCTTTTAAAGTTGAATGTTAAAAAGCAACATTCTTCGGAAAACAATGGATTCATTGGTAGGAAGGAACTGGAGAAAATTTTAAGAGGAAGTTTACAAAGTTCAATTCCTGGTATGGGATCAAAGGTATTCGAGAACTTAGAAGCTAGTGATCTTGTCAGAATGATGCTAAAACTCGAACTTTGTTACGAACAAGATCCATCAGATCAAAATTCTCTATTATTGATTCCTTCCATTCTTGAAGAAGGTAGAGGAAAGCCTCAGAGGTGGCAGATAAGCTCGCCAGATTGCCTTTATGTCGGACGCCATCTTGAATGTGATGATTCAAGTCACATGTTTCTAACTCCGGGATTCTTCCCTCGCTTACAGGCAAGAATTTCTTCATCATGTTCTTTCTTCCTTCATTTTCACCATATGCAATTTACATTTTAATCTTCACTTAAAAAATTTCAAAGCTACGATCGGTAGAATTTTCAGTTTTGCTTCGTGACTGCAGGTGCACCTTCACAACAGAATAAAGTCTCTGATGAATCAACATGGTGCAACTTACAATCTCGAGAAGTACCTCATTTCAATCAGCATTAATGGAATCTACATCAGAGTTGAGCTTGCAGGACAACTCGGTTACTATATCAATATCCTCGCATGCTCCACCAAAAACTTGACTGAAACTTTAAGAGTCATTCAGCAACTTATAATCCCGGCAATTCAAAGTGTTTGCCATGGGATCACCATGACGGAAAATATCATCAGACCTGAGTGCGTGCGGAATTTGACGCCCCCTAGATACAGAAGAACTCAATTTGCTTCCTTGCAGCAACTGAAACAAGCGCTCCTTTCACTTCCGGCAGACAGCATGTATGATTATCAACACACATGGAGTTCGGTATTGGATTCTGGAAGGCCTATTCTCCAAGAAGGGTTTGATTTTGCACGAGACCTTTTATCGGATGATGACTTCCGAGAAGTGCTTCATCGCAGGTATCATGACCTACACAATCTTGCTCAGGAGCTGCAAATCCCACCTGAAAACAACACTGAAGGGCAAAATCAAGCTATAACCTCAAGCAATGAAGCTGAAAAAGTTGAACCATCCTTTGGTGGTATTGCAAAAGGGGTTGAAGAAGTTTTACAAAGACTTAAAATTATTGAACAAGAAATTAGAGACTTGAAACAAGAAATCCAAGGGATGAGATATTACGAACACAGACTCCTACTCGAGCTTCATCGCAAAGTGAATTACATAGCAACCTTCAACTCTCAAGTTGAGGAAAGGAAAGTACCTAACATGTTCTATTTCGTAAAAGCAGAAAACCACTCAAGGAAACTGATCACCACTGTGGTTTCTGGCATGACCGCTCTTCGTCTTCACATGTTATGTGAGTTTCGGGGACAAATGCATGTTGTTGAAGATCAAATGGGTTGTGAAATGATGCAAGTGGATAACATGGCTGTCAAGGCTTTAGCTCCATACATGAAGAAGTTCATGGTGATGGTTACTCTAGCTCTTAAAATAGGAGCTCATCTTGCAGCTGGAATGGGGCAAATGATACCGGATTTGAGTAAAGAAGTAGCTCATTTGGCTGGCTCTTCACTACTCTTCGGTGCAGCCGGGGCAACTGCAGCTGGTGTTGTAGGCGCTGCTGCTATTGGAGGTAGAAACAGGTCTACGGAAGGTTCGAGGGGCATTCAACAAGATATGAAAGCAGCACAACAATGGATGGTTGATTTCTTAAGAGAAAGGAGGTGCTCCACAGGGAAAGATATTGCAGAGAAATTCGGACTGTGGCGAGTACGGTACAGGGACAACGGTCAGATTGCATGGATCTGTAGGAGGCACATGTACGCCAGATCTGCAGAGATAATTGAAGTGCCTATATGAAACTAGAAGAAATCCTTATACAACATTAAGAACCTTATCTTTCAAATTTTTTTCTTTGGTTTTTCTTGTGTTTGTATTTCAAACCATGAATATGCATTTGACCGTGAATTTAGCAGAATCACAATGTATCACTCTTCATCAAATTCGTTGAATTAAGAAAATTCATTAGCATCTCCGATTATCTAATATAACTGCATTTTTTACGAGTTTTTCAAATGAATTAAGAAAAAAGCATGACTGTTCTGAATTTGTTGAATTAGGACAGAAAATTTAGGCCGAAAAGCCATTAAGACCCGTGATACTTTATGGCATGGAATGAGCTTTTGCATGTGAAATAGAAGAAAGTTAAATCCTGGAGATTTTGCTCCATCAACTTTAGCATTTCACCATGTGAAAGTGGGACCATATTATCACTAGTACACATGATTAATAGTATGTTGTGCTATAAAGTTCAATTTCACAATCATTGACATTTAAATGAAAAGGACAAAAAAAGAAGGTAACACAGAAAAAGTTCATGTAACAGTTAACATAGCAACAAGCCTGTGAGAGTACAAAGTTATATTCCCTGTAAACCTACAACATCAGAAGAAATACAGAAAGGAGAAACCACACTGGATACACTACATTATTTCACTTCACTGCTATTATCAGTTTTCTGGACTCGAATTCGAATTCCCTACAGTCAACAAAAGCACATAGTCGCACACACAAGGGATCTGTTCGTTGGATGAAGATCAGAACGATTGTATTTTGAATTCACCGAATTGGCTTTAAAATATGATTTGGTCTTCATCTAACGATCGAGATTCGCGACTGTGTGACTGTAGAGAATCCAAATCCTTTTTTTAATCTAAAACCTACAGTCACCTGCCCGTATTCCTTAAACCAAGGAAGCAAAAACTCAGAAGAAAGCTCTGCTCCCATAATAGACACGGGAGTTAGCATTCTTAGATTGTGGTAGCTTCTGCTCAGTGCTTGAATTTCCGGAATTAGTTGGTTCATTTGTAATGTCCATTGGAAGCTTCATTTTCGCTAATGACTCAGTAAATTGCTGCATACTTTTCATGTACATATCAACGATATCCTGCTGCACCATCGTCGGCTCTGGTTCTATGTTGACCGTCACAATAGGCTTAGGGAATAATTCATTCGGAACAACACTTGACGAATCACTCTCACCATCTTTGACATCCACTTTTTGTACCTCTTTGGTGCCTGAAACTTGTTCATCACCTGGGGACTTAGAAGCTGCAGCAGCATCGGAAGATTCTGAGCTTTCATGTGCAGAAGGAGAAGAAACCCCATTTGTCGACACACTGCTTGGTGGAGAATCAACCTTAGGAGGTTGCACTTGCACAGATTCACCGCTGCATGCTGAGAAGCTTTCCACGAGACGAACACCGGCTTCAGAACTATGATTGTCAGCATCAGAATTGGCTAAGCTATCAGAGCATTGACTCTCCTCGCACGAAATGCCAAAATATTCTGAAACCATTAAGTGATCTTCATTCGCGATCTTAGGATCTGGAAACTCAATTTTACCCAAATCTCTGGCCAACGACTCTGATGTTTCCAAGTCCTGCGCAGCGGCACGTGTGGCCTCCTCACCAGGCATTGCCGATATCGCCATAACATCAGGCGTAGCGCCATTATAAGCAATCGACAACTGAACAAAACCTGAAGGAGAATGAAATAGATCAGTCGAAGAAAGCGAGAACTCTTTCTCTAACTTCCCGTTCTGAACAAGCACTTCAGACAATGGCACCAAAGCAAAACCAAGCAACTGATCTTCGAGATAATTCTTCACCCTGCTCAGCATCCATAACTCACATTTAAGAGACGAATCAACGTTACAAACATTGAGACGAAGATTGTCATTAAACACAGGGTTCCTTCCACCTCCATTAATAGTCTTTGTAGAAACAGCGTTCTCAGGATTACTCGTCAGGCAAATCTTAGCATAAACATCTTGCTTATGGTATATGCAGATGTTCTGAATGTCCCTAGCTTGATGTATATAAACGTCAAGCACTCCAACACATTCATCAGCATTTGACATGATAGTTTCCTTCCCGTTGACTTCAATCTCCTTAGAGGAAGAACTGTTGCTTTGCGCAAAAACATCAGTCTTGTGCTTCTCACCCTCACCCAAGATTGAGCTTCTGAAGGGCGACACAACAGATTGTGGGGAATCCATGATCAAGAACAACAGCTACAAAAACAATATCAATTCACACTAAGTTTTAAGATAAAGTTCAAAACTAAAACTAAAACGATATACACACAAAAACCAACATCTAGGTGCTACAACCTAACTAGTAAAACACAAAATTCACTAATCAAATACTAAAAACACAACTTAAAAAACTTCTACAGAACCTAGGGTTAAGAACATCCAAAAAAATAGGAACAAACATCACTGCATATAAAGTAACATAGAAAGAGAAGAGAAAAAAAGAAGAAGAAGAAAGATTGAAATTGAGTTCCTCCAAACAAACCTTCGAGAAGCAAATTCAGAAATGACAATCAAAGTCAACAAAAGACAAGTGGAACGATCAAAACCTAATAACCTCTCAAAAAATTGAAACTTTCAATTGATATTAATAAACCCAAAATCCTAGAATTATCCAAGCTTAAAAACTACCTATAAAATTCAAATGGGTAGTACGAAATTTCATCAGATTCCAATAAAGCTACCAACTTTATTCCCTCTGAACAGAAACACCTCCACAGAATCCAAGACAGAAAAAAGCATAAACACGGTAACCAATAGCAACCCACTTTAAATTCCTCTTCAAATCACACAAAAAGCCACTTAAAAACAAAGAATAATTCAGAATAAAACTAGGAATCAATCAAATTTTTCAAAAAGTAAAGTAAAGATAGTTGATGATACAGAAGATGATGTGGTTTTCACCTATTTGTGGCTTGAAAGTCAAAGAGGAATCTTTGTGTTGTGTGGCTCTAAGACAGAATTGGAGGATGACCCAGTGTGTGAACCGAGGTAGTGTTGCAGAAAGAACAAAAAAGTTGCGAACTTGTTTAAAGGGAAAGGATGAAGAAGGTGATTGGTGAGAGAGATAAATTAATGAGTGTAGGGATCTGTGTGGAAATTGCACATACTATAAAGTGCAACTGTGTGTATTTGGAGTATAGTATAGTATAGATAAATGTATAGTATAATATACGGTTGGTACTATGAAGCAAAGAGTATTTTATACTTTATAAGGAATCCAACATAGGTTATATTTTGTGGAAAAAATCATTATGTGATTGAGAATTAATTGCTATTTAAGTTAAATATTTTTAATAAAATATACATTTTTTATTAACAATCACTTGATTCCACTTAATATCGCGCAATTGCACAATCGAAAAGAGTTGAAACCAAGAATTAGAAGTGTTTATTTAGTTCGATTTTGAGTGAATTTAATATTCAAATTAATAAAAATATATGGATTGGTTTAGGTTGGATTTACATTTTTTTAAGAGGTGTTTTTTAAAAAATATATATTTAATTAAATAGGTCAGATTTAGGCTGTTAAAAAAATCTATAAAGTCTTATAGACCGATTTATATTTTTATATATATTAAAAATAGTCTAAATAAGTTGACTTATATAGGCATATATATTAGAAAAAATAGATTGGCCTACATATGACTCACGTATAAGACTTTTTAAGTAATATGCATTTATTGAAAATCTTAATAACAAACAGATTTTTTATAGACTTTCAGAAATGGTCAGACTTTTAAAATAGATGAGGGCAGACAAAAAAAACATATTGTATGTCATAGTTCAGACTCAAGCCTTATAAATTTATCGTAGGTGAGATTCAGACCTTCTAAAGTCTAACCTAATCTAACATATTGCATATCCTAGCTTATTTCCACCCCTAATCACAAATGACATTTTATTTTGTTTCTTCTTAAAGTTGATTATTTTATATTAGTTTTTATAATAATGATGATATAAATTATATGAATTAATATGATTGATTTGAGGAGACAAATCTGACCCGAATATTATGGTTTGGTTTGAATTTCTATTTGGTTCAAATTTGTCCGAATCAATAAACATCCCTAATCAGAACTGATTCTTGAATCAGATTAATCAATCTAATAGACTAAATATTAATGGTAAAAACAAACAAAAAAATATACACTTTTTTTGGAATCAGCAAAAGCCAAACATCAAACAAAACGTCGCAATTTCCATAAAATCAACATCAAAAAGATCTCAAAAACAAGAAAGATAAGAATCAAAGAAAAAAATAGTTATATAAGTATCATTTATCATCTCATTCAATTATTTTTTGATATATAATTAAGTATTTTGCATAATACTTAATTGAATTGTTTTTAAAACACTCTTAAATTAGTATGTTATGTTTTCTAATAATTTCATTATTTTTATGAAACTAATCTTATTATTAAAAAAAAATGCTAATTTTTTCAACAAAATTCAAATCTCTTCTTATTACAATTGTAAAATTACATTATCAATTAGGGGTTGAAATATCAAATATCAGTCATTACTAGAAAAGGTAAATTGCAAGAAATGTAATACTATATGCCTCTCTAAAAAAAATCAAATAATATTATTTTAATCTTTCCTATGAAGTAGAGTTAAAATATAATGAGAAAGAGTGAATTTTTATAAAAAAAATGAGTAACTAAGTTGAAAAACTCAGGTGAATAATTAGGTTTTATGATGCTATTCAAAAAGGATTTCACTTCATCACAATCTCAAGACATAAAAGCTATCTGAATTAATAGTTATTTCTTGTTCAAATATAAAACAAAAAAGTGGATAATAATTAAGTGATATTAAAAATAAAAAAATATTATAATGAGAGAAAAGGGGGGAAGGAACAGACACGCCGACCCACGCGATGGAGCCTAATGAAAGGCAGACCAATCAAAATACATTTGAGTGGATTTTTGTAAGTGGGGTATGGTATATGGTATGCTACTTTTTCTTCATATCATGTGAATTTTCTTTCCATACAGATTGACAATAATGCGTGCATTGCAGTTCTGTCATCTCATGCTTCTACATTTTAATCCTGCCAATTTTTAAAACTCTTTGCCACAGATGGAAATAAAGGAACAAGATAATATTAAATATTGAAGAAAAATAACTAAAAATACAAATGTCCTTTTTTTTATTAAAAAACTCTAACAAAATTATTTTTTTGTTAAAAAATAATGAAAACAAAATGTTTACACCAAGCTTTAGTGGGTAGGGACCAAAATTTAAATGTTTTGATTTTGGAGGGACGGTAAGGTTTTTTAATTTTTATAGAGATAGAAAAAATTAAAAATGGATATTTGTATATTTAAGAACGAAGAAATATTGAAAAAAATAAGTGTGAATAGTGTAGGAAAGTTTACATTAGTTAAAAATGTAGAGATTCGAGTATTTATAAGTTGGAGAATCCACACATCTATCACTTTAAGATTTTGGTTGAGCATGTCGTCTGTCTCACACAAAGATGTGTTATTCTTAAAGAAAAATCTCAAGTGTAAAATGTTCTACAGTGATATCAGAGTCTGGTTCAAGTGAAAGGACCGACTCACTTGTATCGAAAGTATCCCCACAGAGTCGTGGTAGAGTGTTTTGTTGAAGAATGTCAACGGCGGTACAAGTGTATGTGATGAGAAAAACATACTTACAGTTGAGGGGAAGCATTGAGGATAGACTCACACTTGAGGGGGGTGTTGAGAAAAACAAATGTGAGTAGTGTGAGTAAGTCTCACATTGGTTAGAATTATGGAGATTTGAGCATTTATAAGTAGAAGAGTTCACACACCAGTCATTTTAAAGTTTTAGGTGAGTATGTAGTGTGTCTCTCTCACAAAAGTGTGTTTCTCTTAAATAAAAACTCTGAAATTTAAAATGTTCCCTCGTATTGACCCTCCAAATTGACCCCAACAAAAAAATTAAAAGGAAAGAAAATATATGAAATAGAAATTTAGAAGAAATTAAGCACTTAAAAGTTGAGGTTCGGGTTCTTTTTAGAGATTGATTCAGACCTAAATTCAAAATCGGGTTGAGGAAAGAGACTGATAAGAAATATGTATGGTGGAGGGTAGAGCTAGCGATTCAACATATATATATATATATATATATATATATATATATATATATATATATATATATATATATATATATATATATATATATATATATATATATATATATATATATATATATATATATATATATATATATATATATATATATATAAAAGTGAAGATCAACTTACTTCAAGAGTAAGTCTTTTTAACTTACTCTAAATCATAATTTTTAATTAAATTTAATTTAATGGTTAATTAAGTTAAAAAAACTAATTTAATCATTAGATTATATTCAATTCAAAGTTATGATTTGGAGTAAGTTGATTTTCTCTCTCTCTCAAAAAAGTTATATATAATAATTCAAGATTAAATATTTATATAAAATAAAATAATTAAATCAAAATTATACATAGTTGTTGATGATTATTTTCATAGGTCTATTCTATTTTTTAAAAGGTAACTAGACTAAAATTCCTTTATAAAGGATTTATATTTGTGAGTGAACTTTACTTTTATTTAAATAGCGTTAAAAAAAACTAAAAAAATATGTTATGATTAAAAAATAATAATTTAAAATGTCAAATATATAAAAATAAAAATTAGACTTTAAAAAAATGACTTTTAAATTGTAAAGTAAACAAATTGAATATAATGAAAAGAATCTAAGGAATTGGACAAAGTTGTTCGTGAACTTAAATGGGTCGAATATGAACTTAAAAATAAGTTTGTGTCTAAAGTTGACTTACGAGTTGAACCAATTATTATTGAGTGGAGCCGAACTGAAGCGAGATTGACCCGACTCAATTCATTTCCATCCCTAATGGAGGATGTATGAATTCTAAATGTTATTTTTGTCATATTTGAAATTTTTAAAGTTCGATTTATGTGATATTTAATACATTGAAAATGTTAAAAAAATTATCTACAATTTATATGTTCGAGTTAAAAGGAAACTATGCTATTTTAAATCTCGAAAATAATAAATAAAATGGATAACAAGTTTAGCATGAATTGGCAAAAATCATAGCATTTATTGACATTGTCAAAAATGTCATTTTCAACCATCCCAAAACTTTCAAAAATTGCAAATAAATCCTTAATAATTTTCAATTT